GCCAGCAGATCCAGGTCCCCGTTCCGCTGCCTTCCTCCAGCGACACTTGTGTGGGGTTTATTCCCTGGGTCTGCCTGCGTGGATACTTGTGTGGGGTCTGATTCCGGCTCTGGGACCTTCTTTTTCCCGGATAGAAGGCAGGGACTGGGAGGGAGGCCGGCCCAGCACCGTGGCTAAGATGGAAGGAAGCCCCGTCTGACACGGACGAAAAGACGCTTCCTCCGGGAATTTCGTCCCAAAAAGGGCTTCCCTGGCCCGCCGTCCTCCCGGGGCAGCAACCCTGGCGCCCGGCCTGAGAGAAACCCGGACATCCGAGGTGAGTTAGAGTGGGAGACTCCGTGCAGGCCCGGGACGTTTGTGCTCACTCGACTACCTCGTTTCCGGTACCCTCGAGCCAACCTTGGTAATGACAGCGCTCAAAAGCCACACCATGGGACGCCCGGCTAGCTCAGTCGGTAGAGCATGAGACTCTTAATCTCAGGGTCGTGGGTTCGAGCCCCACGTTGGGCGGCTTAGTATTTTGGATTCTGAGATATTGAGCATTGTGAGTGGGATGGGGTGCTGTGCCGTTTTCTAAGTCCCTCAACGACGCGTTACCGACTTTTGGCTCAGTTCTGCTGACCCCTAGCGAGTTCTGCGGTGGGGGGATTGGGCTGCGCGCGACTAGCAGCTCATCACTCGGGACAGTGAGCGGAAGTGAAGACAGGGGGTGTGTAGGGTTAGGGTCTTTACTATGGGTGCTTGGCAGGAGCGGGGAAATTCTGGTCTCTTTGCAGCCTGGTCTGGTGGGTCCCAGCCCCAGGACTCTAGGACCGCGATGAAGTGGCGACATTGTGGGTGGCTGGCTTGTCTCCGGGTGTGATTGCCACCCACAGAGAATTCTGGATGCAAATCCCGGATGAGCCCGACCTGCCCCCGCCCCCATCATATTCTGTCCATCACCAGATGTGGTTGCAAGAGCGACACTTAACTGAAACCTCAGCGCGGCACAGCGAGCCTGTATTCTAACAAGCCGTTGGGTTTTCAAAGTAGGGAATGAACCCGGCGCACCCTACATTACTGAGCGATATCCTCAGCCACAGGAAGGCAATTTTTAAAAAGGCTTCGTGATCTCTCTGTAGCTGCCCACGGCTGCTTTAGAGTTGAACCACAGCGATGTACCTGCCAAACTACCTTTCATCAGTCTAAGTTGGAGGTACCGAGAGCAGGCTTCCTTCATATTTAACGGCAGAATGTTCAGAGGCTAAAACTCCAGCCTGGGACTCGGCCGCAACATTGGCTCACGGTCTAGAGGGTCTTGGAGAGGGAGGCTGGAGCCTGGGCCCAGGCTGAAGTGAATGATGCTTGTAGCTGGTGACAGATGCCTTCCTCTTGGCCGGACTTCCCTCCCGTCATCTGATGTAGCCTTCCTGGCTCAGCACTCCTGGTCCAAACTCAGGTCCTGAGTTCCACCCAGCACCTACAAGTCTGGGTTCCTTTCATTCTATAACATTCTCAACCTTCCTAATGCTGCGACCCTTTAATACACTTCCTCATGTTGTGGTGACCCCAACCATAAAATTATTTTCGTTGCTACTTCATAACTGTAATTTTGCTACTGTGATGAGTTGTAATGTAAATATCTAATATTTCCGATGGTCTTAGGTGACCGCTGAGAAAGGATCTCTGGGTCCCAAAGGGTCGCGACCCACAGGTTGAGAACTACTGTTTCCGGTGGCCATGCCATTGGCAAGGGCTCTTGTTTTTGTTTGCCATGAAGGGTTTGAAATTTTACTATGAGCCAGGATCGTGAGTGATGTGAATTTGTGTCTTTAAGTAACAACCAGGGTGGGGATGGGTGTGGTGAAGCAGATTGAGTTAGAGACACAGGCATGTTAAATCCTTCCATCCCTTGCAAAAGCAAACAGCCAATTTTGGGTGGAAAATTACACATTTCTGTTATATTACACAGAAATACCCATGCAAAGAGAAAGGACAGTTCACCTTAAAAATTAACAAAGAAACACGATACAATCTGGCCACACGACATAAGCAATAGTCATAAGAAAGAAAATTACGAAGATTTCAGAAGTTGAAGTCACCAGACAGATGATAACACAACCACGCTCACTATATTCAGAGAATTGAGAACAATGGGAATATCTTTGAGGCGGAAAAGTCCTCCCATCTTTTGGACTGGAAAAAAAAGAAGCAAACGTTTCTGTATTTGAAAACACACAATTGAAACTTAAAAAGTAGATGAGGGTAAGCACCCGTCACAGTGACGGAGCACCTGCTGGCTTAAGTTCCTGTTTGTCGAATCTGTCCTGGTTGAACCAGGATGATCTCCTTGTCCAAGGGTCATTGGACAAGACCCCTGGGAGTGCAATCCAGCCAGGTGCTGGGGACTCTTGGGCTGGCTGGAGTCAGTGCTTTTAGCCAGGTTGGAGCCTCACCTGTCACGTCAAAGTAGGCTCTGCTAACCCACTCTCCGAGCCCCAGCTGGAACATAGTTTACCGACTCAGGTCTCCTTAGGGATACCCTGTGCCAGCCAGCTCCCAGGCTATGTGGTCCTTAGACCACAGGTCCAAAGACCTGGGACGGTAAGTCTCCAGACTCCAGGGTTCTAGCCCTACCTGCAAGCGACCCATTTAGGCTTCCATCTGGGGAAACTGGGCTGGGGAAAGCGGAGAAGCCCAGGTCGGGGCAGCAACCAGCTGAGTCTTCTAACTGGTGTGGACTCAGACCCGACACAGGTGCGGTCCTAGGTTCAGATGCGCTCCTCCTCCGCCAGACCCGTGAATATGTTTTCGTTAGGTGAGAGCCGAACGCGACTCGGTGCGGAACTTGGCTAGGGGAAGCTTGTTTTGTGCGGTTAGAAGGCGGGACTGGGGGAGGGGGGGGCGCCACCTGGAGACAGAGGTGTGAGACCCCCTAGGTCGGGGGCTGGGGGGAGGGAAGATGGGAGCTGGAGGGTTAGCCCGTAAGCCTCCTAGGCAATCGTTTTGTCCTGGGGAGAGCGGTGTGTTGGCCTCAAGAGGATTAGGGTACACTTCCCAGCCCTGGGGTTCACCTCAAACGCAACAGCGTCCCTGGCCTGAGGGAAGGAGCAGCCCCGGTGTTGGAGCTGAGCATCTGCTCTTCGGGGAGCTTCAAAATAGTCCTAGTGTCCTACATAAATCTATTAACTCACTTAATTTCCAGTACCCTCAGGCGACCCTTACTAATTTGTTTATTCAATGGCAGATTTTCAAGACGCCCGGCTAGCTCAGTCGGTAGAGCATGAGACTCTTAATCTCAGGGTCGTGGGTTCGAGCCCCACGTTGGGCGAGTTGGTATTTTAGCTTGGACTAATAGAATCCAGGGACTACACTGGCGGTCCATTGCTGGCGTTCTTCATTCTTTCCAAGTTCTTCATCCAAATTCTCTCAGTTCCTATCTCAGCTACAGGACAGAGAACAACTCAAACTTAGGTCAAAGCTAGAAGCTTTGTCTTGTCTTTCTCGAGAAGCAGGAGAGGGCCACGGGATACAGAGTCTGCTCTACTTTTGATGCTCTGGTTGGAGTGGGGGCACTGGGCAGTTTTCCCTGCCCTTGAATTTACCCCGTCTAGACAGATTTGGAATTCAATTCTCTCTAGACCTGTTCAAGCCAACCATAGTAGTCTATCACCACCCTTAAAAGAAGCAGATGTTTCTAGTTCTTAAGGCTCGTTGGTCTAGGGGTATGATTCTCGCTTAGGGTGCGAGAGATCCCGGACGAGCCCTTCCTGTTTTGAACTACTTAACATATATATGCCTATGCTTCTGGCCCTGGAGATGCTCAGAATTCAAAGTCAACCTTGTCTACATAGAATGGTTGACTAAACAACAGATGAACTGAAACCTCTAAAGTACTCAAAGTCGTTTTTTTCTTGTTTGTTTTCTGTTTGAGGCAGGGTCTCCTGTAACTTAGGCTGATCCCGAACTTCGCATTTCCGATCTTCCTGCCTCCACTTCTCAAGTGCTGGGCATATAGGCATGTGAATTAATCTGGTTGGAGCCCAGAGCTAGGCAAGCAATCACTGAGTCCATAATTCAAATTTTCAATCAACAAGAATGGCTGGGATTATTCAAACTAACCTGATGCATAAAAATAATGGAAAATGCTGGATTTTTTTTTTTTTAAAGAAATCAATCCAGGTGTGACGTCGAAAAAAACAAAAACCTCCAAACAGTCTTGAAAGTGGGTAGGATGGTGCAGGCCTGTGATCCCAGCGCTAGGGCGGATGGGGCAGGAGAACTCAGGATAGCCTGAGCTAAGTGCGAAACACTCCCGCCCTCCCCCCGCCCCTCCCCAGTTCCAACCAGCCACAGCTGAGAACTTTCTGGACAGTAAAGGAATTCTTAGCCAAATGTAATGACCACGGGAACCCTGGGGAGGTGCCCAGTGTCTCAGAATAATAGTTACTTAGAAAGCGTTTGCCAATCGCTCTGCGCCCCGGGGGATGCAGAGAGAACTGCAGCAGGCGGCTGGGATGCCCTGGAATCTGTGCTGCGCAGATGAGAATGCATAGGAAAACACCTGCCTGCCCCATTCCCACTGGTTGCTGTTTCTGGAACGTTTTTTCTTCTGGGAGAGGAGATGTCCTAAGATGTTGAGACCCTCAGATATCTCTCCAAGGTCTGTGGAGAACAAAATTACATTTCCTGAGTTTATTATCGCTGCATTCTTCAAAACCTTCAAGGAGTGGGTTCAAGAAGAAAGCGGTGGCGCCCTGACTAGCATGCCCTGGTCTCTGGTTAAATCCCCTGCACTCAACCTAAAGCGAAAGAGAAGAGGAAGGAACCTTTTACACCAGGGTCAGAGATGACCCAGTTACTATGAACAAGCCTAACCATCCAGGCATTTGGAAATATAGCTCAACCAAATGGTTCTTCAGTAAGGTCCGGATTGATTTACCAAGCTGGCATGTACCTGCTGACTAGTCCCAGAGTCTGTGTAGCATTTTTTGCCAAAAAATTTAGTATGACTCTTATGATTAAAACAAACAAACAAACAGACAGACAAAAACACATTCAAAAGCTCAAGGTCATCCTCAGCTACATGGTGAGTTTGAGGCAGCCTGGGCTACTTAAGACAAAACATAATTAAAGAAATCGGGGTTTGTGGTACAATCTACAAGACATCTGGCCTGCTAATAAATGCCAGTTTGAAGTTTGCCAGTAGTCCTTAAGGGCAAATCTGGCACCAGATCGCCGATCTCTAGTCATCAGAATCTGTTCTTGGGTCCCAGCATGACCTGTAGAGTCGTCGGAGGTCTGTGCCCTTCTCGGGCCGCTGGTCTAGCATCTTTCATGTTCCTGGGGCGCACATACGCGCCCGAAACTAGCTAGGACCTCAGCTTTGCAGGTCGTAGTCGGAGCTTCCTTTTTCTCTTGCTTTCCGTAAAAAACGCAAAGGATTTTAAACTAGCAAAGACTTCGCGCTTCGGATGGGAAGCGTATTCCAAGACCGCAGGCAGCCTGCTCGCCGCTGCAGAGTCCTGGATGAGCCTCGGCCTCCCAGCTCGACGGTTCGAAAGCGCAAGGCAGATTCCAGTGCAGAGGACGCCGATAGATGCAAGGAGGAGAAAGGTGTCCCTCTAAGGTTCCGGGAGCTGGAGGGCGGCGTGGAGACGGATCCGAACAGCTCCAGAGTCTGCGGCATTTTCACCACTGGGTAAACTGCCAGCTACTGCGAACGAAGAGAGCGTTTCCTGAAAACTCCACCAAGAAGTCGCTTCGGGCAGCTCTGTGGGGTTTTGGCTGGCACCCCAATACCCCTGGTGCGCCGGTGTCTGCATAGTGAGGCTCAGGGCCGAATCTCCAGGGTCCTGAACAGTGGCCAAGCTCCGAAGGTGGCGTCCAGTCCCGTGCCGTGGCTGCACGCGCGGAGAAGGCTCTGACTTCTGCGATCGAGCCTCATCCGGGAACTCCCATTTTTCTAGTGCTATCCGAGTCTTCATCCCGAGGTGAATGCGGTGTGTCCGGAGCCAGAGAGCTCCGGGAAGGAAGTGCAAGCGTGGGTCCCCGCTGAGCGGCGGCTTGAGGGCGCAAGATCCGGAACGAGCCCAGCCAGAGGAGCCCGGGTATGCGAGGGCGCTGGGGCTGGAAGGCTGTAGAGACTCGGGCAAGACGTCCTGGGTAAATAAAGGTCCACCCCAGTTACTGAACGACGGTTTAACCACCAGTGAGGAAGTATTCCTTTTAATATTTTTCAAGGGAGACCAGAACTGTCTGCCCCAGTGGCCTAATGGATAAGGCACTGGCCTCCTAAGCCAGGGATTGTGGGTTCGAGTCCCACCTGGGGTAGTGTGAGGCTACCACCTGCGGTGGGGTAACATTTTGAGCTGCAAAATCAGCTATGTCAACTACAACACATATTACATACTGGAAAAAAAAATACTCAAAAGACGAAAAGATGTGCATTTGCTCTAGGCAGGAAGGGTGTAGTGTTCCAGATACAGGCACACACTAGTCCCTTTTCATAGCACTGAAATTATGCCCAGAAATACCACACTACTGAGCTGCCGGCTGTATTTGGGAGAGTGTCTAACCTGAGATTGGAGGCTTTCAGATGTACAGGAATCTATTTCCAAGATGTTTTATTGTAGCTGTTGGATAAAAGAAGAGGGAAAAATGATCATTAATAGGGAAAGAATTAAATACATTTGTTTCTCTCTCTCTCTCTCTCTCTCTCTCTCTCTCTCTCTCTCTCTCTCTCCCAGGCTAGCTTTGAACTTTCTTTCAACTTCAGCCTCCTGAGTACTACCCTTACAGGAGTAACCCATCACATGCAACTTGTTTGTTTTATTAATATGATTCAATCCCACGAAGAAAATCTAATCTATTCTGGTCTACTTGGATGATAAAACATGGAAGAGGTTTTTTATAAAACAAGCCCCAGTTCCTATCAGTGCTGAAGGCTTTGGGAGGCAGAAAATGGGAGACTAGAAGCTGGGCAAGTAGTCAGGTCACAGGAAGAACGGAAGCGGGGCTGCCCCTCTGACAGGTGACTGTGTAAGGACCGAAGGGCCCTGGAATCGCAGAGTTGAGGCACAGTGATTAATGACTCCCCCAGAGTCGTGGATAATCTACTGCTCAAATCTCTGTTTTAGAATGTCTAGTTCTGTGACATTTATATAGTTCCTTCGGGGTGGGAAAAACTCAGGGGAGGGGGGAGAATCTTGGTGTCGGTCTATGATTCGGGCTCCAGCAAATTCTCTCTCACTGGTCTGTGACTTTGTGAGCACTCCGATAGCCTAAGGCCCAGGAGCCTGTGAATTCAGGACAGCTATGCTCCAGGGCACCTTCCTGGAGTAAGCACTCCGACATCACTGAGGGCGCAAGAGGGGAGATGTCCCTGGTGGGCAGAAGCCAGCACAGCTCCTGCGAGGCTTTGGTGACCAGTCCAGTTTGGTTTTTTATTTTATACTCTAGAACCACAAGGTGGAGTGGGCAAGCAAGCAAGATTTCCCAGAAGCGTAGGTGGCAGTCAGCAGGTTGTTAAGGGATGACCAATTGCGTCAGCTATTTTTTTCCCCAGGTCATTCTGTTTCAGGTAGCAAGTGAAATCATGGTTGGCAAATGGGGAGTATAAGCAGCGTTTTAGTAAATTATTAAATCAATAAATCAGTATCTAATAATCGGTCTTTTTTAAAACCCGACTTTACTTCACTATATTCTGGGGAGGGGCCTGGTTGCTCAGAGCACGCTGCAGTCCCTGACTGCATCCTAGAGTAGGCAGGCATGTGCGGTTTTCTCTGCTCTCCGTTGACCTTCCATCTTTTTCTACTTCCCTCCACCTTCCGGCCTCACCACCTCCTCTTTCCTTCCCTCTGACTGAAGAATGCAGGGTGCCTCCCAGTGCAGGGTGGGGAGAATTACCCGCAGAAGAACAGTTCCAGGTGTTTGTGTTCAGGTTAAAGGGTCTGCTGGGTTTAAACCACAAGACTCAACCTGGAGGAGGAAGGGAATGGAAGTGAAAAGCAGCAATAGATTCTAAACTGGAGCCCACCTCTGTTCTCTTATTTCTATTTTCTCATTCTATCCTCTTCTCGACAGCATCTTACTGTGTAGCTCAAGATGGGCTTGGTATCTCTTCCCCTTCTCCCTTGCTCTTTCTCTCCCTTTCTCCCTCCTTTCCCAGAATCTGCCCAGGCAGGCTTCAAACCTAGTACGTAGCCAAGGATGGCCTCAAACCCTTGATCCTACTTTGTCGTCCTCTTAAGTGCGGGAATAACAAGCCAGCGCCATACTCCCAGCTTGCCTCAATCTCAATCTCTCTCTCTCTCTCTCTCTCTCTCTCTCTCTCTCTCTCTCTCTCTCTCCCTCCCTCTCTCTCTCTCTCTCTCTCTCTGGACAAGGTTTCTCTGAGTAGCCTGACTGTTTTGGAATTCACTCTGTAGACCAGGCTGGCCTTGAACTCACAGGGATTCCCCCTGCCTCTGCCTCCCCAGTGCTCGGAATAACCTTGCCTTAGCCTCTGCCAGAGCTGGGGTTATAGGTGTGAGCTGCCACACCCAGCTTTTCTCCGGTGTTTTAAATATTTGTTTTGTTAGCTGAGTGTGATGTCATCCCAGCATTTGGGAGACAGAGGCAGGCTGACCTTTATCAGTTCAAAGCCAGCCTGGTGCACATAGTGGGTTCTAAGCTTGCCAGGGTTATGTAGTGAGACTGTGTCTCCAAACAAACAGACAAATGCTGTTCTGTTAGCTTCTGCACCCCTAGTGCAAATCTCAGCTCCATCAATTTTTAACTCTTGGCTTCTTCCTATACACTTTGGCAGACTGTGTTAGAGTATAATTTGGCTCCATCAGTGTGTTGACTAGTTTAAAAGTCAACTTGACACAAGCTGAAGTTATTTTGGAAGCTCAGCTGAGAAAATGCCCCCACCGGATTGGTGTGTGTGTGTGTGGGGCATTTCCTGCTTGACGATGGATGTGGGAAGGTTCAGGGTATCCGACCCTTGTCAGGTTAGATACCTTCGACAGAAAAAGCTGTTTCTCACCATCCCCTCTTTATTTTTCTTTCAGTCTTAGCCACCATGTTGGCCATTTGAAGTCTCTAGTCACAGTCAATGATGGTTGTGACAAGTGATGACCTAAACATAAAGTGAGCTCTTCTTAGGGGTGGCCCCTGACCAAGCAACAGTAACAGTGAGGAGGGTTTCACTCTGACCAGAGATTCTATTCTCTCGACTAGAAGGATTTTTCTCTTAACAGGTCCTTAGTGCTATTGCATTATTCCCCCTGCTCTGAAAAAGAAACCCTAGAATTGTCTAGGAACATATCAGAGAGCAGCCCCTGCCCCCAATACCTTTGACCTCTCTGGCCTCGGGCAGTGATGAGGCTTCCAAGAGCCCAAGGACATTTTTGGCTTTTAGCCAAGGGGAAACTGGTCTCTTTTCTTTGGGATCTTTTTACCCTAGATTGCCTACCCAAAGTTTTGAACTTCCAGCCTTTTTTCACAACCCCCACAAGAGGTAACTGTTGGTTATTTGCGGCACTCTTGCCCTGCGAGGAAATGACATGAAACACGACAGAATTCACTAACAAGAGTTTTATTTATTTATTTATTTTATTTTTTATTTTTTTTCATCACAGGCAATTTATTTTGTTCTTTCATTCACAGTTAATACAGAAAATACTTGGAAACATTTCCATATAATGTTTGACACAGAAATCATCAAATAGAAGTATACAATGTTG